TGTAAGTTAGAGTTACTCTTCTTTTCTATCATATTTAGTAACATGTAGGGTATATAACTGCTGTGTTTGAGATAATAGAAGTTTACACATTGTTTAGTCACCAACTTTTAACATTTATTAAAAATAACCATTTTTCTTACAGTTTTCTAAACAGTTTCCACTCAGTTTAGATCTTTTGTGGTACTGCTTTTTGAAATCTGTGTTTGTGTGAAAGGCAGGAGGATTATGTGCCAGGGATACATCATAATATATTTGTTCTTTATGCAGAAAATCAGGTTTGTAAGTTATTGCTTCATTTTTACTTCCCCAAGAAAGGGATAAATGACTACACTTTTCTTTTTGAGACAAATACTGCAACAATGTGTAGAGGAACCCTATATACTGCTTACAATTGGCAGAAAATTATTAATATTTAGATAGAAGTGGCATCTAAACACATGGTTTACAAATTGAATCTGGGCAAGTTAGTGTAGGAAGAAAGTGAATTCAGTGGAAGGTTGCCACACAGATTTTTTTTTTTTTTTTTTTTTTAGTTTTAATGGTATCTGCTTTTAGTATGAATTGGAGAAAGGTTTTTTCCTACTCAATTTTATTTCATTTTTTACTCTCATTTGAGAAGCAATTTCTCCATGAGACAAATCTTTGACCCTTTTGTATTCTGCACTCCCATCCCCCTTGACTAGAAAATGCAGCTGCACACATTTTTTGTTTAGAGACAATGGATCACATGCTGTGTCACCTAAATCTATGACCAAGAGGCAGTTTTATCCTTAAGAGGCCATAATGCTTCAGTTCTCCTGGATATATGACATCATGTAGCATTATAATCAAATATACATCTTTTTGCAGTACATTTGGGATTTGAATTTACCTTCTAATCTCAGTATTGGATTTTATGGCAATAGACATTATTTATAATGGAGAATCTTAATGAAAACAAAGAATGTATTGTTAAATCAATAGGAAAGGTTGTGAGTTCCTTTTATATGTCTTTTTTTTCTTCCATGAGGGTTACCAATGTTTTTAGATATTCTGAGATTATAGAATATCTTTAAAGCTATAGTGACTGTTAGGTTTGTTACACAGTGCCTTGCAAATAATGTGTGTTCAGTAAATGCTAGCCTTTATTTTTGCTACTGACTCAACAAATTAACAGGAAGAATATTGTTTTTTTGAGTCAGACGCAACCTTAATTACAAAGAAAAATAAATAAAAAATTGTTTTCCTTTTTAAAAATGAGAAAGCCTTCAGATTTAGAAAATATTAGTATCTATAAACTGCTAAAATATTTTATGTCAAGTTTATTATAATAAGCTGATTATAGAATAAATCTAGGAAATACAATGCTGTGGCTTCCAGTCTTGAGAAATGGTGGTACCTTATTATAATTAATAAATATGGTTCATTCCTAAGAAGACTGGAGGTGAGGAAAGGAGAGGAAAATTGAATAGACATTTCTTTTATTATGTATTAACTCTTAGTGGCAAAGCAAGTTTAAATAAATTACAGTGAAGTAATTGCGAGGCAGTTTCCATAAAATTCGCAAACATTTGGATTTCTGGGCTTTGCCATAGCTCTGTAGTAGAATTATTTTTCTTCTCTGAAACATTGTTTAGTGATTTGAATTAAGTGAATGACTTCCTATTTCCCTTTACTAGGGTTATCTTAGCCTAAGTGAATTTTTTTTTTAAATATTGGTTACTTTAGAGTGGTTGGATAAGAAAGCCACAAATCTGAGATTATGCCTACTTTCTGGTTGCTCTTTTGACATTTGTGAAATTGCTTGATTTGCTGATGACATGTAGTTCTTGGTGGGTGGTAAGGGTAGCAAGTTAATAAAATAAAGTTTCCAAATATCTTAAGACCACCTAAAAAGAATTAGAGATTGTAATCTTTTGAATGAGATGTAACCAAAAAATCCTATTCTTAAATGCTTCGGCATTGACCTATTTAAGTATTTAATGAGACGGATTTTAAGTAGGGAGCTGAAGTATAGGGTCAAAATGGTGAGAAACAATTTTGTCTATAGACTAGATGCTGCTATGTAGTTTGAGGTTAATTATTCCTTGCGTAAAGCGTGAGACTGGCTGCAGTCTTTATCAGGGCCTCTTGGTGCAGTTATTCAAGTGTTGGTTTCAACTTCTTTCCAGTTCTAGTAGATATAACAGTTGGCATGGTTCTTTTTCACTCCAGTGTAGTAAAGCTTATTAGAAACAGCACAATTGATGTTCTTCATTACTGAAAAAGGTAATAAGGAAAGATATTCAGTGACTGGCTCAAGGGTACAAGGAATAAATTAATTTGCCTGAGTTTGCTTTGGGCTCTCAAGAATTGATTATTGTATTTTGTTTTGATCTGAGTTTTTTCTCAGTGCAACTTTTTTTTTTTTTTTTTGAGATAGAATTTTTCTGTTGCTGCCCAGCTGGAGTGCAATGGCACAATTTTGGTTCACTGCAGCGTCCACCTCCAGGGTGCAAGCGATTCTCCTGCCTCAGTCTCCGGAGTAGCTGGGATTACAGGCACGTACCACCATGCCTGGCTAATATTTTATATTTTTAGTGGAGATAGGTTTCAACATGTTAGTCAGGCTGGTTTCATACTCCTGGAATTGCAGGTGAGAGCCACCATGCCCAACAGAAATGTAATTTTTTTTTTTTAGACAAATTCTTGCTCTGTTGCTTAGGTTGGAGTACAATGGCACGATTTCGGCTCGCTGAAACCTCCACCTCTTGGGTTCAAGTGATTCTCCTGCCTCAGCCTCCTGAGTAGTTGGGATTACAGGTGCCCACCACCACGCCTGGCTAATTTTTGTATTTTTATAGAGATGGGGTTTTGCCATGTTGGCTAGGCTGGTCTCAAACTCCTGACCTCAGGTGATCCGCCCACCTCGGCCTCCCAGAGTGCAAAGATTACAGCCATGAGCCACTATGTCCAGCTATAAACTTTCAAAAATTAAACAATTATTTAGAAACAACATAGATTTAGGACTCTAAGAATTATGGTATCGGTAAGATAGAAACTTAATTAAACTTGAAAATGGAGCATGAGATTCAGTAATAAAACTTTAAAAACACTTTGTAAAGGTGTTGAACACATAATTAATTGAACCAAATTAATTGCAGCTATTCCTTATTTGCTGTGGACCTATATATGTTACTGATGTATACACTAAAAAACATTTATGTTGGCCAGACGCAGTGGTTCATGCCTGTAATCCTTACAATTTGGGAGGCTGAGGCAGGAGGATCACTTGAGCCCAGGAGTTTGAGACCAACCTAAGCAACATAGGAAGACCCTGCCTCTCTACAGACATAAGAAAATTAGCTGAGTGTGGTGAAACACACCTGTTGTTCCAGCTACTCGGGGAGCTGAGGTGGGAGGATTGCTTGAACCCAAGAGCTCAAGGTTGCAATGAGCTATGATCATGCCATTGCAGTCCGGCCTGGGCAACAGAATGAGGAAAAAAAAAAGAAAAGAAAAAAAAAAACAAAAAACCTTTATGTTCATGAGAATTTCTGGACTGAGCTGGATTTTTTTTTTTTTTTTGGAGTCATTAAATAAATTTTATATTCATATACCTATATTTCAATGTACTATAGATGCTAAGCTGAAATTAACAAAGTGGTATAAATATTTTTTCTTAAATCTACATCATTTGTCAAAAGTAATAACTGAAAAATGGATAGAAAATTATTATTTTGAATATTTTAACTTAAGAATTCTGAAACAGTACATTCTAAATTAGTTGGCTGCAAATGAATGTAGCTAGGAGATATTTATATTCCAGTCCTGTTTTGATAATGCCATTATATTTGTTGCTGTGTCTTTTCTTTTTGTTACTGAGAATGGCATTAATAGTGAAAACTCATGATTATTTCAAAAGTAGTATAGTTATTTAGTGTGTGTGTGAGAATGTTGGCATCAGACAAAGCTGTTAATAAAGTAATTTAGACCTTTTTTGGTCATTAATGACAAAATATTAAAAGTTTGTATGTTTTAAGTTCTTTTGGATTTTTAAACTACAAGGATATGAAGAAGGGTTCTATCATGTTGCATGATTGGCAAAATGTCTGCAAACCAAGTGCATGGAAAGAAATGTAATAAGGAAGTGAAAGCCAAATCATAATGAAAATGATGAAACACATATTGCGGCACTCTTCCAAGAAGTCCTAATCTCATTTGGCTGCCTCGTCAGTGGGTATCATTGGTCATGAGGGAGATCTATCCTTAATACTAGACAAATATGTTTTTAATTTCAAAACTTCAAAATATAAAGCATTGTTACTGAGTTTGTACTCTAATTTTTATATTTGAAGGTTATAATATTTACACATTTACTACTTTAGGAAGAAAACTAATAATAATTTTTAAAATGTATAATAGTAATAACCATCATTACCATCTCTGCAGCTAGTATTTGTTGTACACTTACTCTGTACCTCTGTTCTAAGTGCTTTGTTTTTGTTGTTTAATTTGTACTAAGAATCTTATGAAAGTAGGTAGTATTATAATTCTAAATTGATAGGTCTTATAGTTAATGAAATAGAGAGCTGGGATTTGAACCCAAGCAATATTTCTTTACAGCTCATGCTGATAACCCTTTGCTTCACTCTGTCCAGATGTGATTAATGTCAAGATAAACGATTTAGATTTTATTTTTACTTTGTGTAAAATCTAAAATTTAGGTTTTATTTTATTTATTTTTTTATTTTTTTGAGACGGAGTTTCACTCGTTACCCAGGCTGGAGTGCAATGGCGCAATCTCGTCTCACCACAACCTCCGCCTCCTGGGTTCAGGCAATTCTCCTGCCTCAGCCTCCTGAGTAGCTGGGATTACAGGCATGCGCCACCATGCCCAGCTGATTTTTTTTGTATTTTTAATAGAGACGGGGTTTCACCATGTTGACCAGGATGGTCTCGATCTCTTGACCTCGTGATCCACCCGCCTCGGCCTCCCAAAGTATTGGGATTACAGGCGTGAGCCACCGCGCCCAGCCCGGTTTTATTTTTTAATTAATGAAGTTCTTTATCCTTCACAATTTCAATTTCAAATATATTGCCTCCTCAGGTTTCTGCTCAATATCTCCTAGTGTTATCTATGTTAATTCCTTTCTCAAGAAGGCTTTCATTTTATAATTGTATTATAATATTTGCCATAGAATCTAACAACTGTGACAACAGAACCATGCATGTGGTAGAAACAAGAAGTTTCTGATTTGGAGCCTCTTAGGGAAAAAACAGGAGAGGTTCCTCTGAATAGTATATCTCTTACACATCTCTTCCTCTACCTTTTATCTACATTACTAGATGTAGAGATACTATAATCATAGTCCAATATAGCTAATACTTTAGCTTTAGCATTTAAAATTCCTATATTCATTTTATATAGATTTAAATTTTTATATTTAAAATGTCTGCATACATTTAGGTACTTCTGACATTATAGTAATTCATAATACATTTCCTTATCAGGAGGTTACTTATTCTGTATCTTCAATTATTAAACCACAGATAGACAAAAAAGGGACTTACAAGTATTTGGAGGGAAAAACCACAAAGTTTATGCATGAAATTCATGTGCCTTAAGGTGAGCTCTTTACCCGTATTAAGATTTTACTCAGATCTGTGATGTTATATGAAATTCTAATGAAATTTATCTGGATTTCTATGCTGTAACAGATAATAAATCTATAATTCCATTTCCATGATTTAGAAATCCAAAATGCTCTGGAAGCCAAAAGTTTTCTTAACCCTTATAGTGGCAAAACATGATCTGAACTGATAAGGATATTGGTGGTCTTTATTTACCCCTTCTTAGTGTGAATATACATTTTGCTACAGAAATATTACCATTTATTTGGGGTGTTGCCTCAGACTCCACTAGGATGTGATACGTATATATGTTGTATTACCTTTCTGAAATCCAAAATATTCTGAATTTTGAAATATATTTGGCCCTAAGGTTTTTAGATAAGGAATTGCAGACCTGTATAATCAGGCACATTGACTACATATAGTACTATTGAGGACTAAGATACGGAGCTAAGGTTTATCTGGTAACTTAAAAATATTTTTAAATACAGCAATGTGAGACCTTTCATTATGGAGCACTGCTTCTCTCAAATAATATGGATCTCTTTTAAGGAAAAAAAAAAATCTCATTTTGAGAATTGCCGATTTTAGTTCTAAAGCAGTTTTCTTTTAAAATGTCTCTCACTTTTCTGTTTGAAAATGGTAAAATACATTTTTTATTATCATTGAAGTGAAAGTACGTTTTTATTATCATTGAAGTGAAAGTATGAAATGAAAATTTGTAACACTCGTGACCTGTAAAATGTATCCATTAACCTTTTACCTCCAGGGATATGTCCTCTACCTACTTCCAGTTGAGATTCGTTGTCATAATAAGCAACTCTGACTGGTTAGAAGTTTATCAGACCTCTCAATTGTGCTGAGGTAGAAAGAAAAACATAAGAAATGATGTGCTAAAATAAAAGATAATGTACTCTAGTGATGTTGTCATGAGAAACTAATGTAAACATCTGTTTCCAGCAGCATGGTGAACCAAGTACCTGCATCAAGGTACCAAGTACCTTCAACTTTCTGCTGAAAACAACCTAAAATGCTGGATAAAATAAAATCTTAAATGCATCAGTGCTCTGGGCACAAAGTGGAGGGTACTTAGACAAGGCTGAGCTCTGAATCCGGCTATTGCCTTGAGGATATTTGCCAAATCAGGTGAGCTTCTCTGTTTATAGCTTTGTGGGGCTAAGGGATCAGGAAGCAAAGCCAGTCAAGGTGGAGCATTTAGTAGGAAATAGTCTTTGTCACTAATTTGCAGCCCCATTGTACTGTACCTTGTAAGTAATAAGGATGATACAGAAATTCTTTTCCTTTATGTCCCAGAGTTTCTACAGATGAATTTTTTTCTAGGATATTGCTGCAAATCAAAAAAAAGTCACTGAAAATGTGCTGCTACAAATCAGCCCTTACACTAGTTTGCAGCATGAATTCACACTAAACCGTAAGCTAGGAATTTAAAATGATCCTGGGCTGTTACTACTCCCAAGGGCCTGATAAAACCTAACATAATCATCATTATCAAAGAATTCCCATTGGTAAAGTTCTAATGAAAATAAGTGGTTTATAATAAAAATTACAGACCATCCAAGGAAAAAGGCACAATATACGAGAATCAGTTGAATCAGATCTGCAAATAGTTCACATTTTGGAATTATTAGATATAAAATAGAAAATAAATACATTTAATACGTCCAGTAAGAGGCTTAAAAATAAAGCAAATACTCTGAAAAAGAACCAGCAGTTCTAGAAATAAAAATAGTAATTGAAATTAAAATTCAATGGTTAGGTATAAAAGCAAATAGACTGTTGAAAAAATAGCATAATGAAAGGTAAATCTGAAGAAATTTAGAACACAAGATAGACAAGAAAATGGAAAACATAAAAGAGATTAATAAAGGGAACATTTTTAAGAGAAAAGACAGATTACCTCCAAAGGAATATCAGGTTTCAGTAAGAGTAATGGAAATAGAAGACTATAAGATGATATGGAAAACAAAATAACAATGTAGAATTCTGTAGCTCTTTCAAGATCATGGGCAAAATAAAGACGTGTCCATACAAATAAAATCTAAAAGTTCACTGACTATTTTTTAAGCAGAAGTAAATGGTCATAAGTAGAAAATCTGTGATTCAAAGAGTGACAATTACATGGGTAAATAAAAACAGACTTCTTAAACAATATTAACATCTTAGGAAGTTAAGAAAAAGCTATATTATAAACCAGGAGGTGGTGATTGGAGCTATCATTTAAAGATCTTTTTATTGTTACCGGTTATGGTGGCTCACACCTGTAATCCCAGCATTTTGGGAGGCCGAGGTGGGCAGATCACTTGAGGTCAGGCATTCGATACCAACCTGGTCAACATGGTGAAATCCCATGTCTACCAAAAATATTAAAAAATAAAAATAGCTGGATGTGGTGACCCACACCTGCAGTCCCAACTACTTCAGAGGCTGAGGCAGTAGAATCGCTTGTACCTGGAAGGTGGTGGTTGCAGTGAGCTGAGATTGTGCCACTGCACTTCAGCCTGCGTGACAGAGCAAGACTGCATCTCAAATACATTGTTTAGGAGCAGACTAAAGATACCTGAGTTTTTAGAAGTATATATCAAAATGTTTAGCATTTCGGTGGTAGAAATATTTATATAACCTTCACACTAGAAGATGATCTTTAAAAATGGAATGAGAAAAAAAGAATCGTAATCCGAAAGAAGGCAAGAAAAGAAAGAGCAAAATTAACATGGAAGGAGTGGGATACCAAAAAGGATGGTAGAAGTAAATCCTAATACATGCATGCCTTTAAAAACAATATTCATTTATATGGGGTTTAGGAGAGGGATTACAAGGAAACAGGAAAATGTTGAAAGTAAAATAATGGAAAAACACACACCTGGCAACCTTTTTTTTTATTTTTTAAATTTTTTGTGTGTACATAGTAGGTATATATATTTATGGGGTACATGAGATGTTTTGATACAGCTATGCAGTGTGAAATAAGCACATCATGGAAGATGGGATGTCCATCCTTCAAGCATTTATCCTTTGAATTACAGATAATCTAATTACATTCTTTAAGTTATTTAAAAATATGAAATTAAGTTATTATTGACTATAGTCACCTTATTGTGCTATCAAATAGTAAGTCTTACTCATTCTTTTTTTTTTTTCTTTTTAATACTCATTAGCCACCCTCACCTCCCTCCAACTAATCCCCCACTACCTTTCCCAGCCTCTGGTAACTATCCTTCTACTCTTTATGTTCATGAGTTCAATTCATTTGAATTTTAGATCCTACAAATAAGTGAGAACATGCAATGTTTGTCTTTCTGTGCCTGGCTTATTTAACTTAACATAATGATCTTCAGTTCCATCCATGTTGTTGTAAATGACTGGATCTCTTTTTTTTTTTTTTTCTGAGATGGAGTCATCTCCCTCTATTGCCTAGGCTGGAGTGCAGTGGTATGATCTCAGTTCACTGTAACCTCCACTTCCCAGTTCAAGCGATTCTCCTGCGTCAGCCTCCCAAGTAGCTGGGACCACAGGTGTGAGCCACCATGCCCTACTAATTTATGTATTTTTAGTACAGATGGGGTTTCACCATGTTGGTCAAGCTAGTCTTGAACTCCTGATCTCAAGTGATCTGCCTGCCTCAGCCTCCTAAAGTGGTGGGATTACAGGTGTGAACCTCGTTCTTTTTTATGGCTGAATGGTACTCCATTGTGAATATGTGCCACATTTTCTTTATCCATTCATTTCGTTGATGGACACTTAGGTTGCTGCCTGGCAAATATTAATGGAAAGAAAGCTAGTATATTATTTCAAATAGACTTAAAGACAAAAAGAATTGATACATAATGGTAAATGGCCATTTGGCAGGAATATATATATGTTTTAAAGTTACATGCAATTAATAACCGTAGCCACAAAATAAAGCAAAAAACTAACAGATGTACAAGGAAAAAATTGAAAAATTTTACCAGTATATCAGGAGATTATATCTGCCTTAGTATTTGATATAGAAAGCAGACCCCCAAAAAAGATTAGTATATCAAAAATTTTAACGGTGCAATTAATAAGCTTGATCTAGTGAACATATATTTCATCCACACGCCATAGAAACATTAAATGAATCATTATGAAAATTAATCATGTACTGGGCCACGAAATGAGTTTCAGCAAATTTTAGAGAATTGATATCCTATACTCTATTATAGCACCAACTCAGTTAAATTAGAAATAGATATAAAAAAAAAAAACAAAACCTTTTTTAATCACATGGAAATTAAAAATATTTTTCTCAGTATCTCATGGATGAGAGAAGAAATATTGGAAGTTAGCCTGTTCTTTAATAGATGTTAAATCATACCTCAGGTTTGCTTGCAGCAAACAAAAATCTGAGAAATGGCCCAGATAAAAAGCTTTAGATTCTTGACAGGTGAGAGTGTGCAGGGACGCTAAGGACTGATGGTGGATTGGTTCTCCCAACAGGAAGGATGAAATTTTTAATAAATGGTAGTGGAACAATTTTATGTTCATATGTGAAAGATTAAATTGGATAAAAAATACATGTATACATTTTTGGTAAGTTGAAGATTTAAATGTAAAAGGCAAAAACTATAAAACTGTAGACCATAAAGAAAACGGTTAATAAATTCCACCATATGATAGTTAAGAACTTTCTTATTAAAAGGCAACTAACAGACTGAAAAGACACATCATTTACTGGAGAAAGATATTTGCATCACATATAAGTATTAGCATCCAAACATTACAAATCATTAAGAAAACCCATAGAAAAATGGGCACAGGGCTTCAATAGATATATGGAAGAAATCCAAATGGTATGTATATAGATATATATTCATATTCTATATTGGTATACAGATATGTTTGAATGAATGAAAAGGAAAGGAGTTCCAGCCTGTTACTAATCTGGGAAATGCAGATTGAAACAACAAGGAGATACAGTTTCATAGTTGATATGGTCTTGCTCTGAACCTTCACCCAAATCTCATCTTTAACTGTAATCCAAATTGTAATCCCCATGTGTTGGGGAGGGACCTTGTGGGAGGTGATCAGATCACAGGAGTGGTCTCTTCAAGCTGTTCTTGTGAGAGTGAGTTCTCACGAAGATCTGGTGGTTTTATAGGGGGCTTTTCCCCACTTTGTTCGGCACTTCTTTCTCCTGCTTCCATGTGAAGAACATTTGCTTCCCCCTCCGCCATGATTGTAAGTTTCCTGAGGCCTCCCCAGCCATGCAGAACTGTGAGCCAATTAAACCTGTCTCGGATATGTCCCTGTAATAGCATGAGAACAGATAATACAGTAGTCATCAGGTTGACAAAAAACAATTTTGGCAAATACGTGGAACATTTGGTTTATACATTCCTGGTTAGTGATAACTGATTTAGCATTTTTTGGTAAGCAGTTTGTCATCACTGAAAGTTGCAGAGAAGAATATTCTGTGACCAAATAATTCTACTTATTGACATATGTTCAAATTTTAGATGTATACCCAAGAGAAATTCTTGGCACTTGTATTCCAGGTGATATGAACAAAGGCCTCTATAACAGTACTGCTTGTAGTAGCCCCAAACATAAGCAATTAAATGTTCCTTAAGAGTTTCAGAAATTATTGAATATTCACAAAATGAAATACTAGTCTCTATGAAAATGAATTAGTGCTACAATAATGTTAATGAATTTGATGGGGAGGGGGGAAACAAGTCCCAGAATGTCCTCTATATAATTTAATTTTAAATGATGATTAAATATGGAAGGCTAAATAATGTTTAAGGATTCTGGGAAAAGTATAAAGAAAAACCTTTTGTTAATTCAGTCTTTAATCAGTTAAAAGTATAGAAAAATAAGTCAAAATTCTGTTTGGTAAAACATTTTGTGTTTAGTATGTTTCTTAGTTATTTTTGACAAAAAAAAAAGGCTATTACTGTGACACATCTAATTCTCTGTAATGCAGCATGTTATGTTAGGTAATGCTGAAAATTCTGTGGCTTTCCCTTTTCTTAGTCTCTGTAAAGCATTTCTTTCTTACTAATGTTAATACCAACCTAAGCAAAAATGCTCTCCTTTGACCTTTTGGGAAATGATCAAAGAATTCCAGTATGTAATTTTATTTTTCTTATCCTGGAGTAGAA